CCCCAAAACCCCAAAACCCCAAAACCCCATGAATCTCTAAATTAAAAATATCTAAAAATCTTAAATATCTAAAATCTAAAATATCTTAAATTCCAATTCTTTTGTTCAGTCAGCTTTCTACTATTTGTTTTTAACGTTAATTCTCTCATCAATGTATTTGTAGTATGTATGATTAGTTCCAATCAATGTATCCCATATGCTAAACATTCCTCCAAAATTACCTACGTTATGGCTATGATGATAGTCATGATACTATGCATTTGAGTAAAACAAGCACATATCATTAGGCAACCAAGGAAAATCATAACCTGAATGCAATATCACTGTGTTCAGGATCCTGTGAGTTCCCCAAATAATATAAGTATAATAATGCATTCTTTGTCCAAGAATAACTGCTGGAATAATGAATGGAATAGCATTTCCAAACAGAAATTCAAATGGATGAGTATACTCTGCGCTGAATCCAATAGTCTGGTTGTATTAATGATGAAGTTTATGGATTTTCTTATAAAAGAAGGGCTTGTGTAGTAACCAATGGCTTGCAGTGAAGAAAAAATCTTGAATCCACATGCTAAATAATATTTACCAGAGAATAGTCTTCCAGTCAGGCAAATCTTCCATCTCAAAGGAGTATCTTACTTGATAATCATCTTTAATAGTCACTATCATCTAGGCGATGGGAATCACAATAAAATTATTTATACCAACAACAGTATAGCTCTTTCTTAAAAGTTCTTTCCATTCATTGAGGTCTTCTTTCCAGGGCCATTATCCATCATAAATTTTATATTGCTCAAAAAATGGATGTTCAATGTGATATATTATCCAAAAGCAGAAATTAATGAAAAAGTATAAGAATGTATTGTAAAAGCAAGTATTTATAAAAGCTATCTGCCATTTTTATAAATCATATTATTTCATCAAATCTAATACAATAGGCCAAGTGCGTTAGCCTATCTCAGGCAATATGTAGAGATAGAAACATATTTAGGCAATAGCAAAGACTAATCCCCATTCCTTACGTTTGTATCTTTGAAATTCTCTTTCTATTATGACCCCAATACTTGCAACTTCTCGCTTTTGCATCTTGATCCTTATTATTATACGTCACAAATTTATAATTTGAAATATATGATTAATGTTTCAAATTCATGACTAATAATTTTAAGGAAGGGGGTTTTGGGGTTTTGGGGTTTTGGGG